TAAAGCTGCCCGTAGCTCAGAGGCCCCAGAGCCGCTAACTTGAAAGCAGAAAAAGCCTCTGCCGTAGGACTCCCGGGGGGCTTGGAGAAGGCGGTGAGGGGAAAAGGGGGTGAGCCGCCCCACGGCCTGCGAGGGTCGGCCCTGAGATTATCACCGTGCGCTCGGAGGGGTCTCCCCGAGTGCCCTGCTCCTGGGGGCAGCGGCAAGCTGCGGGGCGGACCGCGGGTCCCCGGTGGGCAGCAGGGCCGGGATGAGTGCGCGGAGCCCCCACCGAGCCTTGGTGAGGGCCTAGAGCTGCTGCTTGGTTCTCTTCGCCTGCAGTGCTGTGTCTGGGCTTACAGCGTTGGCATCCCCCTTTGTTCCTTCCAGGAGTTCTTCCGTAGGCCCTGGGGAAGAGGGGAGTTCCCGAGGGTGCTGGGTAGGATGCTGTGACTGCTGATTAGTCATAACAGCGGTGAACAGCAGAGCTGGCCAGATAAATTCAAAGCATATATTTAGCTTCAGTTTGCGTTTGAACCGTAGCGTTTTCTTTTTCCTTCAGAAATTTGACCATGTGAGTCAGTGACTCATAAATAGATCATATTTCTCCACGTTTTGCTTTGGAAGAGATGCTAGAATACTGAGCTGCTGTGGAAACCAGGCTTATTCCTGTTAGTTCCCCTCTAGTAGTCGGAGGTCTTGCCTGAGATCCCTTGTTACTAGGCTGCTTTGCTGCCTTTTGTAGTTCACTTTATAGAATGCAGGGTTGAGGTGCGGAAAAATGTTGGCGTTTATGTGCATAATTTAGGAAGAAACGTGGTGGATTCTAGATTTTTTTTTTTCTGTGAAATCCTCCTTTCCTTTGTTATTGTTTGTGAGAGTTTGAGGAGGAAGCAAAGAAATCTAGACTTAAGAATCTAGCTTTTGTTCTTTTAAATGCCCAAGCACAACTGAACGCACAAAGCAAAACAAAACAATCAAGTGAATGCTTGAACCACGTACTTGGGGAAAAAAAGTTGTGTTTTGCACAGACGTACCTGCTCAGATGTACCTGCACATCAGCTCTTGTCACCTGAATTCCATTTCTGAACGACTTGCACAGCGTGCAGTGTGGTGGAGCATGGAGGGAGGGATATAAGCCATCCCTCTTAGGAGCGACCATAGGTTTGTGTTTGGTTACAAATTTAGAACTTGGACCCCACGTTGAGTTTCATTGTTGAGCTGGTTCGGTTCTGCTTTCCAATAAGAAGCATAAGGGGAAACATACTACTACTTTGTCAGGACATCATCTGCTCTGCTCTTACACCCTCCTTCCAGGCTACTCTGTCATTTGCTACCTTGGTGTTTGACTATCAGTTTTTCAATTGTTCTCATTCTTGTGAACAGTCCTGAAATTTCTGAAATGCTCCATAAAACTGGCTATTCAGCTCATTCTGTCAGGCTGTAGAGCAAGTGGTGTTTTTTTCCTCTGTGCACTTTGCCTGTGGGTTGTTAGTTACGCATGTAAAAGGGAGTTTTCATGGCACATTTTGAATTATGCTTGTGTGAATGAAATAGTCTGTGATAATCATCCTTATAATCTACTCTTAATTAGAAAGATAAAGGTAAGTGGACAGAATGATGGTATGTTAAAGAACTGAACTCTAGTGGAATAGCGATGAAGAAAAGAAATCCTTCCTCTGACTCGTGTACCTGAAAAAACTGGGAGAACAGAAAGCTTTTTTTGTTGTTTTTGTTTTGCTTTTTAGAATTTATTTGTTTTGATTTATCTAGAATAAAGGGTTTAAAATACAGCCACTAGCAGGCAGATCAGGTATTCTGCCTGCTAGTCACGTTCCAGAGTGTTAATTAAAAACGTCCAACTTGATACTCCACAGGGGATGAAGTTTCCAGAAAGTGAGATGGCCAAAATCATCAGCCACTTAAGTGTTGCATGTTTTTTCTAGATGTTATTACTTGCCTTTTTATGGGTTTTGCTTCCTGTTGTCAGTACTCCACCACTCGCCCTCTGTTTCTCCTGAACAAGACACTTCGTGTACGTGTTTCACAAGGGATTATCTGAGAAACGCAGTAACTCCTGTACTCTGCTGTTGCAGGCAGGTGGACTAATGCTTAGACTGCATGCAAATTCTTACAGTTGTTTGGATTTCTTTCATAATGCTGAAACTTATTACACAACAGAGGAAACACGTAGGTTATACTGCCTAATAAACAATATCACATTCATCATTAGTAATGGCTGGGGAAAAAAACAACTATTCCTGTGCCTTAAATATATGCATCAGATAGAGAGTTAGCGACAAGCTTCGGAAGTGGATGTTGTTTTGGAGACCTGTTTGAAGAGAAGTCGTTCAGTGCAGTGAATGAAGAAAAGACGCATATTTATTTGGGCAGGGAAAGACTTCCTTGTTCTCTTTGAAATCATATCGGTGATTGCTCCTAACCTTTTTGGCAGTGCCAACAGGAAAACTAAAAGGGGTTTTCAAGATTGAGAAGTCAGCCTCACTGCAAATATAGCTTCTATTTATGTGGTTAAATAACATACTTCATTGGGAATTTTGGATTGCATCTCTATCAGCTTATACATAATATACAATGAGTTGACATGTAACTGGAGTGTGACAGTGCTTCTTCTGATGGCGTTGCAGATGTGGAAGGCTACTGCAGGCCACACCATTTCTGTCAATCAGGATGATGGAGCTGATGACTGGGAGACGGATCCTGATTTTGTGGTATGGCTTTTGAATTTTATTGACTCAGCAGAAGTGTGTTATGTAACGTGTTAAACAGTAGTTCTTCAGGGAAGGGGCTATGGCTCAGCAAAGTAAACTGATAGGAGCGTGTTCCTCGAAGGAGGGAGAATTAGGGATTTGTGCCTGTGAGTGATTAAGAAAACTGCCTTGTCTTGGCTGGGTTCTACAGGGAAGTCTGTACAGAAGAGATTTGCGTCAAGAAGCAGCAGCTTCTTGGGGCTGAATGTGTGCTCCATGCATTTCATCAGGAGACAAAGCACAGGGCTCACAGCAGAAGAGAAGGTGGTCTTAACTGCTTTTCTAACTCTTCTGATCTTGCTGACGGCTGAAGGCTTTTGTTGTCAACTCTAAAGTGCAATAACTAGTAACGTCGTTGGGTTTTTAACTCTTTTTATGTGTGTCCTTTGCAGAATGATGTGAGTGAGAAAGAACAGCGCTGGGGAGCTAAAACTGTGAAAGGATCCGGCCATCAAGAGCACATCAAGTAAAGCAGCTCTCTTCTAAAATTTATTAATAGTCACAATCCCAGGCGACTTTTAATCAATTCATGTTCTTGGTTACTTGCATCTTCGTAATTAAAACAAGAGTCTCCATAGAAGATTGATTATTTGCCAGATTGCTGGTCTTTCAAATATGTCAGCATGTTCAGATCTGAAATTAAGATCAGAAATATGGTGTAGGGACTCTTAAATCTTTCTTTGTAACTGGAAATGTTATTTTTCCCTGTGTCTGGAAGGTTTCTCTGTTCTCTTTTGGTGCAAGAGCCAATACAGCCAGGGGAGAAGTTTGTGTTGGGTGGTCTGAGCAGCTCCCGTTTGGTACTTTAAGGATACATTTGGTCCCTTAATTCTTGGGCTTTATTTAGAAAACTGCTAACAAACTCATAAAAATTCTGGCAAAGTAACAAATGGTAGAAAAGCAAATGAATGCATCACGGAGGCCTATGTGAGACAGAAATGATCCATCTTCTGAATCTTGTATTTCTTACAAAAACTGTCTAAGACTTAATTTTAAAGCAGTTTTAGGAAATGTGTGATTGTGATGTTCATTTTGGTTTCACTTGTGTATTTCTGGGTCATCAACCCTCGTGGTATAAAGCTAAGAGTAAATGTCATCAGTGTTGCAAACGGAGAGAGACTGAACTATGTGGCTTACTTCAGGGATCAATTTTATTCTGCCCTATTTGGAGTGCAGTGGGGACGCCTACTGGCTGAATTACGCCTGAGGAAGCTTTAAACTCAGGTGGGAAGTGTTTTAAGGTACAGATTACCATCTTGGTTTGTCATTCTTGTATGTAGCCTGCACTACCGCAAGTTCAATTCCTGCATATTGCAAGGGAACACTTGGGGAAGAGGAGGTGCATGTCTCCTTGCGTCCTTATTGTGCATTACAGTTGTGTCCAGAATGCTCAGTTAGAATTAGAGTCCCGTTACCATAGGGACTGTATGATAAGAGATGATCCCTGTTCTGAAAAGTTGCCATCTAAATTAAAAGCATTGGAAAGAACTTAAATTAGGATATGAGAAGAAAATATGTTTCACGCACGTACAAATTTTAGGTAATTGATTATTCAAATAGCAAAATACCCTTCCATGTTAGTCTTAAAGCCAACATTTCCATTTTGGGTTTTTTTTTATTTTTCCAGACAATGTTTTGCAGTGGAATAAATTCTGTTTCTCAGAATATGATGAACTGCTCTGTGCACTGAAAAAATGGAAAGGTCTTGAAAAATACAAGTTGTCCAACTTTTAATTAAGATGATATTTTTATCATCTTCTTATTTTGCATCTTTTTGAGGTTCTCTTCTGAAACTTTCTTAGTAAAACTTGATGCTTAATTATCTGTCTTTAAAGTATTCATCAGCTGAGAGAGAACGTATTCCAAGAACACCAGAACCTCAAAGAGAAGGAGCTTGAAACAGGACCAAAAGCTTCCCATGGCTATGGAGGGAAATTTGGCGTTGAACAAGATCGCATGGATAAAGTAAGTATGAATGCTTCCCTGGGATGATATTACAAGCCACGCCTTGCCTTGCCAGTGGCCAGCACAACTATATATGTGAGTTAAGCTTGTTGAAGGTGCAAAGTTGTTCCAACTTTGCTAGGTTTGGAGACACAGAAGCTCAGATCATGGCATAAGCTATATACAGCGGTGGCTCATTTTGAGGGCAGAAGCGTCACTTACAGTGCTCTAACAAGAACACTTGTAACCACTATTACCCAAATCTGTCAGGCCGTCATGCTCTGTTCCCTAATTAAATCAAGATGCTCCTACAGAAAGAACTGAACTAAAGCACTTGAAGCATCAGGAACAAGTATTTCAGGTGGCAAATTAGGAATCTGTGAATGATGAGGAGAAATTCTGGGATGTGCAGTGGCCCCACATGTTTTTGTTTGATGCTTGCTCTGTCTTTAGAGCGAGTCTGCTTGCTTATGTCCTGGGTGGATTCCCCTGGAGTCAAGATTCAAGTTTCTAAAAGTGTATTTCTAAATTAAGGAAGTAGTTCATGCTTGAATAAATCCAGTATTTTTTTTATTTCAATGCTGTGCTAGCTCTTCTATGCATATAGAGGTTGCCAAAAAATGAAGAAAAGGGTGGGCTGCTGCTTTTAAATTAGAGGGCAGCTCTCTTAAACAGTGGTAAACTGTGAACAGTGACAAGTAATCCAAGTATTTAAAAAAATCATTGTACTTCAGTCAGATGGTAATGTTTTACATAAGGACTTGATGGCTGTTTAAGTTACACTCTATTAACAAAAGTCGTGATAATTCTTAAGGTAATTCCATTAGCCATGTCATAATTAGACAGGCATATCAACTTCTGGCTAGTTTCTTTCATGTACGCTGTTAAAATAAGAGCCAAACTGTTTCCTGAATAAGAATGCTTTTATTTTCTTACCTTATTTACTTTCTGGGTTTCTAGTAATTTGACAGCCTTAATTTTTTTCTGGATTCCCGTATTCCAGAGTAAATTGCTGTATAATTCTCAGTGGATCTTTGAAATAGGCTAACCTAACCTTTGAATCTGGGAAAGGAATTGCTGAGCAGATTCAACCATCAGGCCTGTTCTGCAGCTGCGTAGCTCTCTAGTGTCTGCAGTTTATCCCTCACCTGTGTCCATGGGGAAAAAGAAAGAAACAAAAGCGAGTACTGTTTCCTGTAGGCCAGAATTAATCATCAGCAAAAACGTGATGGTCATGCCCCTCTGAGTGATACTGGTGGCAGGAGACATTCGTACCTTATTTTTTTAATAAACCTTTCTTCTTATAACTATAGTTCTAATCCTAATCATTGGGATCTCTTCTTCACAGGTATCTGTGGCTCTGTGCAGGTGTGCTAGTATTAAGGCTTGACTCACCTGAAGTAAATGAGTGTTACTGCAGTGTTGTCGATGGTACAGGTTTTTGCTGCATTTAGGACAAAACCTTGATGCTCTCTTAAAGTGAAGTTATATTATACTATGTGCCAGATCTCCATAACTGATTTAAAATGTAGCAGAGTATTGTGCTGAGGAATTAGGAGGCAATTTACTCTGAAATACAGATTTCCAAGAAAAATCTTTTTCTAAATCTTTTCTAAAAAGGGGTATGTCGTAATGCTTGGTATTTGATGAAATGCAGAAAGTTCTGGTGCCACATAAAGAAAACAACATGCTTAAACCTTACCTACCTCAGTTAGCATAACAAAAGAGGGATCATGTAAAACCACATAAAACCTAGGATTTTCAGAGCTTCATGTCTTCCATAAATGTAATGGGTAACGGGAAGAAGAAAGGGAGGTGGGAGCCTTTTCTGTCCCATTTAGCAGTTACTGTACTACAGAACACCTGCAAAATGAACAAGAGTATGACTGTTTCAGTCAGGAAAAGAAAGGAGCTTTTATATTGCTTATAAGTTAAGGTGGTGTCCTATTATTGACATCCCTGTTCTGTTGCCCGGCAATTACTTCAGCCATTATGTGCGGTAATGTTTTGCTTTCCTAAGTGCTGGGAATGTTCCCCCTCAGCACTGTGTTTAAAAAAAAAAAAAAAAAAAAAAAGGCAAATACTGTAAAAGCCAAGCTACTTACAGTTTCTAGACACCTTGTGTCCTCAAACTAATTCACCGTGGTCCAGCAGTCTGATACTGGTACAAGATAAGCAGCTTCTTGTTCCTCAGAGGTCGGAGCTTGGGGCAGCTGCTTGGAGGGCGCTCTGCTGCGACTGCCCCGCGCACGGGGACCGGTGCTGGGACCTGCGGTGCTGGGACCTGCGGTGCTGCAGGTGGTGCCGCACGGGGCGGGTGGTGGTGTTGAGTCAGGAGAGGTGCTTGTCACAGGGTGCAGCCTCTCCGTCTGGACACGGTTGTGTGCGGCGGGTTATAGGGTCTTCTCTTTCTGCCTCCGACAGGAATTGCATGCATTTGAGCAACAGACTCAAATGTTAAAGTGGCAAATTGCGAGTTGCACTGGCCAGCGCTCAGTTTTGGCACTCGACAAGAAAAAACCATTTTTTGGCTATGTTATGTAGCAGCCCTCAAGGTGCTAGGCTCTAGCATCGATTCCAGGATCTAGAAGGGTATCCTAGCACTGGCTTAACGTAACACTAGCAAACGCTATCTGGATATACTTTCAGGGGTGTAATTACATATCCTTGTGTCTTACCTGAAGCCAGACACGGTGCGATGTAACTGCGCCACGGCTTGCTGTGTTCAGCTCGAGTTCCAGGGACAGGCTGAAATGGGAGACTGCGGGGCTAGGATGCCTTTAGCATGGAGAGCTCTGTCGTGATGTGGGAGCACTGCTTCATGTTGCGATGCCATTTTGCAAGTGAGGAGAAAGTATAGAGAGAAGATGCCTAATTTTGATTTATGCAGAAGATCAGGGTGCCTCCCTAAAAGAATGTCAATGGAAAACCTAGCTATAGTTGTATTTGGTTGCAATCTAATATCAGCTAAAACAGAACTGTAGCTATGTGCCTAAATACAAGGTTGTGTATTTTATCTGGAACTAATCCTTATTTTAAATTCTGCATGAACACCATCAAGATTCTGTCTGTATCTATCTTGCTTTCATTCCTATGGTTTTGAAGTAAAAATCCAGAGTGTAAAACAGTCTTCATAAAATACAGTCATTGCTGTCAGACTCTTTCTTGGCACTTCCCTTGCCTAGGCTGTATTGGTAGCATGGCAACAGTCTTGTAAAGACTTCTCAAGCGAGTAGCAATTTCCAGGGAAGTTAGTTTCAAGAGGCAGAGCGGCAGTGGTGCATGTTTGTAACGAAGCTTATCCTCAAGTTACTTGGTGCACTGTTTTCTCTTACATACAGAACTGCTGCTTGTTTCTGAACTTTCCAATTTCTTTTAGTCAGCTGTTGGACATGAGTATCAATCCAAGCTTTCTAAGCATTGCTCCCAAGTGGATTCGGTGAAAGGCTTTGGTGGCAAGTTTGGAGTACAAACCGATAGAGTTGACCAGGTAAGCAATTTCGTCTCGTACTGCAGCTACTCAGTGTAGTTGAGTTTATCATTTTGTACGTACAGCTGAAAAATTCCAATACCTTAAAATGCTGGTGTGGTCAGCTCTTCCTGCTGTATTCGAAGTTTAGCAGTAAACTGACTGTTAGGGAGATAAATTTCTGTTTAAAGCAAAACATAAAAAAGCCCTTACAGGAAACTGTGATGAGTTGAAAAGAAAACTGAAAAGAGATGTTAAAGTATGCCTTTTAGCCAGGCTGTGTTCTTTGATGAGGATAAAATCAGCGTGAATGCTACAGAAAGAAGAGGGATTTGGGGATGGTTTGTCCTGTATTGCAACATGAGCTACTGGGCAGGATAATTGGTGTCCCGTTCCAAGACTGTTTAACAACGCCTGCATGGAAATACTGAATTCCTGTTGTACTGAATTGCTGAACCTGGCAAGACTGGAGTATGTTGCTAGTACAATTTGCTTTGGCAAGGGATGACAAAAACCTTTGCCATGAATACATGTACTAAATTATCATGTAAATGAATATGGCCTAAAAGTTAAATAAGTATTTATGCTCCCGATCAAGAAGGTCAGAGCAGCATGGAAAGACACAGGAACTTTCCGTGCTGTTTGTCCACTGAAGTGCACGCAGTTTTTCTACTAATATCTAACTTTTTGTCACACGTCCGTTTTTATTTGTCTTCCAGTCAGCTGTTGGGTTTGAATATCAGGGGAAAACGGAGAAGCATGCCTCCCAAAAAGGTAAAGTGGTGAGGTGGTTGTCTCTGTAGACATGTTTTTTATAAATAGTAGAATAGATCTCTATTCTTTTACTGTTTGTAAAAGACCTTGTTTAGTGAGGCCTCAACCTGATGTTCTCAGTGAATCAAATGTTGAGGGGGTTGGGTGGAAGAGAAAATGAAAAAAGGAATTTCAAAGCAATTTCATGAGCTGATGAGGTTTTAAGACAACGAAATAGCCTGTCATCGTGAGTCTTACTTTTCTTTTAGAAGTGAGGTTCAACGACATTTTAGAAAGATTGGGAGTTGTTCTTTGCTGTATTGCACCCTATTGGAAATAGGGAGTAGATTTAAGAGGAACCATCATAAACTATAGGACTGTTGCCCATCTTATTTTCTGTGTTTAAAATTAAACTTAGTTTTGCATGCTAAAGAGTGATATTTCAGTTCTGAAATACCTTTTTTCCCCCCTCAATTTCTAGGATATGATGTTTCTATTAAAAGCTTCTTAATTTCTTTTTTGTTGTGCTTTACTCTCAATGCAGACTACTCAAGTGGTTTTGGTGGGAAATACGGTGTGCAGGCTGACAGAGTGGACAAGAGTGCAGTGGGGTTTGATTACCAGGGTAAAACTGAGAAACACGAGTCACAGAAGGGTGAGTAGACACACGTGTTGGTGGGTTCATACTCCGATGTAGTAGGCATTCATGATAGGCAGTGTTGTAAAATACTAATTTTTTTACTAATCTGTTGCACTCCTAACCCGCTGAAAGTTAACACTGAATAAAAGTTGTGTTGCTGAAAACTTTGACTTCTGAAAAAGAAACCTAAAACATAGGTTCTAATTGATGATCCAACTGCCGTTACTTTGGAAGCAGGGCACATAGGTTTGTGTGGAGGATTTTTGCAACTTCTTTTGAAAAGCTGTAGATTAAAGTATTGAGACTCTAAGCAGTTTAACCACAACAGAGAGAAGTGTTTCTAAAAGAATCAGCTGTTTGTAGATTAAAACATTTATCAGAGTTAGTAGAGTTTAGAGTTAATATTGTGTTGCTAATCAGGTTGCCAGGCATACTGATCAAAAATCGACCATTTTATTGAAAAATTTTCACATTTTTTCCATCTGTTTTATTGTTTATCTCAAAGAAATGTTTGCACTCTAGAAATGCTAAAGAGAAGAAGGGGGTGTTTGTTCAGAAGCATCCAGGCTGTTGCTGACATGGTTTTTGAAGTTTGCTTTGCTATAAGTGTGTTAAGAATTTTATCAAGGAGTCAAGTAGCAGAATTGCTGATATTGCCCAGCTGTTGAACTACATATGATGCTATTTTATTTTCCATCCTGAGAGAATATGTTCTGAAGAATTCATTACTTCAGTGTCTGGAATCAAGATTAACCGAGGATGTCAGTGCTTCTTTTAATACGTAATGTAATGTTAGCAGGTCTGATTATCACAATTTTTCAAGGTAATATTTTGTTATTGAACACTTACAAACAAAATTCTTCACTCTTATCCCTAGATTATTCCAAGGGCTTTGGTGGTAAATATGGTGTTGACAAGGACAAAGTGGACAAAAGTGCTGTTGGCTTTGAATATCAAGGCAAAACGGAAAAACATGAATCACAGAAAGGTTTTTATTATCTTATTTAAAAATACTAGTTCAAATCAATCAGCTTTTTAAACCTGGGAAAAAATATTTGGTTTGGGATTTTTTTTTTTTTGTGGTAATGTGTGTTTGCCTTTTGTGTCTGCAGATTTTTGTTTCTCTTAAATGAAAAGGAAGGCATTGTACACAGTCCCTGAGTTTCATAATCTGATTTCCAAGGGACCTTATATCCATATGGATGTTATTGAAATAAATGTGTGATTGGACAGATCTCTGGTATTCAGAAGCAATATCAAGTCCTTCATTATTTATGTATCTATGTTGCGCATATATATATGCGTGTGTTATATGGCTTTAGGTGGAAAGTGCATCAGATTCTTCAAATCTCAGAATATTACTGGGTCTGTGTGCTGTAATCTTCACTGGATTTGTGGTGCTTCCTTGCATCGTGATCCTAGAGTTACTGAATGGGTATCCTTCCCCTCTGTTGAGGTAGTGTAGCAGGAGGAAAAAGAATGAAAGATAGTATCATTAATGACAGGGTAGCTTATCCCATAACATGTTATTGGTTTTTTATTAAATACTGTTTACAGTCATAAACTGCAATAATATTTTCTGAAACTTCATGCATACAGATTATGTAAAGGGGTTTGGAGGCAAGTTTGGAGTGCAGACAGACAGACAAGACAAATGTGCACTTGGCTGGGATCACCAGGAGAAAGTGCAGCTGCATGAATCCCAGAAAGGTATATCAGTCCACAATTCTTTGCCAGTCTTTCTGACTTCCCTCATTTTAACTTTTCTCTTCCCTGTGTGAACCCTCTTCCCCCGGTATCATTGGCCACAGCCTTACAGTAGCTGACATGAATCTCCTTTTTCTGTGTTTGAACGGTTGCTGTGTATTGGTTGTACTGGTGTCTGCAAAGCAGGTTTAACACAGCTGATATTGAGTCCCTGAAAGTTCAGACTTAGTGGTAAGTTCTCACTGGAGAAGCTTTATGAGTCTGCAGGTAGCCTGGATTATCTTTTTCCTTTTTCAGTTGAGTTGTACAAATCACAAATTAGCAATTTCTTGGTACTTTCCACAAATAATCTCCCTTTTCTGGTTTCTGTTATGTATACCCCTATTTTCATGTAGGGGAAATCTAATATCTAATGCTGTCCTTTCTCATTGCCTGTGAGGTACCTATTCCTATGAAATACTGGTACCCAGAAGAAAAGCTGCAAAATAACGATTGCTCCCAAGCCCTCTGCCTGTCACCACTCTTAACTTAAAGAAATTAAATTAATTAATTTTTTTTTAAAATTAGAGAAACTAAAAGTGATCCTTAAAATAGTGTTGTATGCTTCAGCAGATTTGTTGTGAGAAGATTACCTGAAGCCCTTTTTTTGCGCCCTCATTTTGTACCATATATTAAAATGGCTGTTCTGAGGCAGCAGTAGGGAATGGTCATAGCTCTTAGCCGAGAGCTTTTTTCCCTCAAGCTGTGCGGCAGAAAAATTCCTTCTTCCTTTAAATAATGCTGTGTAGGAATATGTGAAGGATAGCGTCTGTGGACCCTATCTTAACACCTCTTTAAAAGTCAGATCTGTAGTGTACAAATGTTAACCACGCTGATGAAGGAAGCTCATTTTATTCTCTTGTATCCTTCTGTATGTTGTTTTGTTTTGGTGAATATACTGTGTGTGTGTTTGTGTTCATAATGTTGATCAAATGCAAGTGCATTATGCAGTATGTATGAAAAATGTTGAGAAGTGCTTTTTTCTGTGACTTCAGAATGGTGTTCCTAAGGCTGATAAATCATGTTGACCTCTTCTTAATCTCAAGTGGAAACTTTTTTAATTTACCCTTACAAAAGTGTATTGAGATTTTTTTTTTTTCCCACCATCCAAAATTATTGATAATTGAGAAATACTGCAAAAATTATTTTCAGTGTCTCTGACTAAACTTCTTTATTTTCCTCCCTTCATTTTAATTTATTACATGTGGCTTTTTCAGACTATAAGAGTGGTTTCGGAGGGAAATTTGGTGTACAGACAGAAAGGCAGGACCCATCTGCTGTGGGGTTTGATTACAAGGAGAAACTAGCCAAGCATGAATCTCAACAAGGCACCGTTTTCACTTGTTACTTTCTTAACAGTGCAGCCACTTCTCACACAGTCTTAAATAGTTGTCTGAGTAGATTGATGCTAGTAATGTGCAGACACTTTCTTGCGCTTCTATTCCTACATGATCTAGCAATGTTCTTCCATTTTATTCTTAAAATGTTACAGAAAGCAAGCCTGTATTCAGGAAACAGATATCCAATGTTTAGTTAACAGCTCTACAACATTATGCATTTAGTTAATAGCTATACATACATTTTTATAATAACGACATTAGTATGTCTAGTATTATTAGTATGATGTTAATGACGTCGTGCTTACCAATTTTAGAGTCTAAATGTGAAGTTTTGCCTGGACAAATTGGTGGAAAAATATTCAGATAAGGACCATGCATGTAACCATTAACAAGCAATGGGTTATGGCAAGATCATTTTAAAATGATTGTAGTCTTTAAAACAAGAAGTAGGGAATGTTTGTGGTTCTTGGGTGAGCAAATACTGTTATAATGCTCTCTTTATTCATTGTGAAATAGTTGGGGTACAAACCATGAATTCCTGGTTTTCCGTTATCTTAAAGTGAGAAGTCTGGATCAGGAAAATGTAAGTGTAGTATATTTATTCTGGCTGAAAATACATACAAAGCTGAAGAAAATGAGGTTGTTTATTCTGATAGTCAATATTTTTCTGTGCTACAGTGACACAAATTCAAACTTTTAGAGCGTCAGATGTGCCTTAGCAGAGCCCAAGTACAAACACTTAAAATAGCTGGTTAGGGGACCCAAGTAGTTTTGGGGCTGAGAGGAGGAGGAGTAATTGTAATTGTATTCCAGGGACGTATAGGAAAGCCTGTCCATCTACAGAGTCTAAGGGCACGTTCCTACAGCTCACTGCCACCAGAAAGAGGTGTTTTTCCAGCCACACACTCTTGCTGCTTTTGTTGCACTGGCTCTGGTGCTTGTCAGACATTTCTCTGAGTACAACCCACTAGAAAGAGCAGAAAGCTACTCTTGTTAGGGTTGGTTTGTTGTTTCTTCTTGTTAATGCCACTAGTGAGTTAAACTGATTTTGGAGTATAACAAGTGCCAGAGTCAGCATCAAGTGAGAGTAAGAGTGTGCAGCTCAGGGGTGATATGGAAGAGCATGGCCACCCCATTTCTGGTGGTGAGTAGTTGCAGGCTCGTGCTGTCTTGTGGAATTGCCCCTTTCCATATGTAGAGCAGGAGTTATTACCAATGATTTTAATGTTCATCAGTTGACTATCACAACCAAATCCACTGGAATGAGAAATTTGTTATATTTTCCTGCCATTCATAGAATTTACCAAGTTAAAGAGAAAAAAACACCTCTGTGGTCACCGAAGACTGGATATCGCTCCTTTGAGCAAAGCAAAATGGCTTAGGTTATATGATTACTGCAGAGGGCTAAGAATTGGTGCTGTGAAAGGCTGTGTTACAGAAGTGATGCATTAGAGGGGCTCATCCCTTATTCCCTGCTTGATACCTTATCAGTCCTCAGCTTCATTTTTACTCAAAGAATGCATGTAGCCTACAATCTGTCATCTGCTGGTGTACCTGAAGGCTCTTGCAGTTATGTATCCCTTCTGCATCAAAAACCAAGTTGCATTTTCTTTGGCGGCTGTCACTGTATCTCTGCATGCGGCTGAAATGGCTATTTGCATTTGAAATGGCTATTTGCATTTGGCAGAAAGATGGGAGGGACAAAAAACTCCCTAGTCTAACCTTTTTATCCTGCTTTTAGATTATTCGAAAGGATTTGGTGGGAAGTATGGTGTACAAAAGGATCGGATGGATAAGGTAAGTTGCTTAAAAAAGCCATGACTTAAATAGTCTGTAGGGATACAAAATAGTCTGGTTAGATCTGTAGTGTTCAGCTCTATTTCTGGGTACTTCAGTCTAACAGTAGAGTTCTGTGCTTTTCTAAATCTTTAAAAAGCAAGGTTACACACACACAGCTGATGCCAGTTTATACATACATGTATGTGTGTACATATGTGTAGTATATATATATTTAAGTAGGGAAAACTGAAGCATGGAAATGAAAGAATAGCAAAATTTATACAAAAGAATGAGAAAATCCATTAATTCCACAATTTCAGTCATGTCTTCTAACAACTAGCTAATGCCTTATATCTTGAGGATATCCTTTTAGTGGACTGCTTGAAATAGGTGTCTGATACCTACCAACTTTGCCCACTTTTGATTATCAGGGACCTTCTCTTTAGGAGAATTTGTTTCAGTATTCTGTAACAGTGAAAGATAGGGCAGCTGATACCCCCTTTCTACCTCTCCATTTTTAAATTTAAAAAGCTAGAATACGAAAAAGTCCTCACTGAAATTTATCTACTGAATAAATTTACTCTCAGCTTTACGTAGGACATCTAAAAGTGAGAAACTAGAGGAGTTTGAAAGTCTGTAGGATTTTTTTTTACCTGTGGCTTCAGGACTCGGGACCATTCATTTAAAACAAACCCTCGTATTTTGAATACTGTTCTCAAAATACTCCCTCTGTTTTAACAATACCTGCTTCTTTAATGGAACTGGATGCTTTTACCTTGGTAGAAATCCTGCACAATGTGGATTAGAACAGCAACAGCTACACAGTAAACGTTTAGGGCATTGCCTCATGTTTAGTTCTGATGAGTCATCTGTTCATAAACTACATTTTTTTAATTAATAGGATTTTAGTGTGTTTTAAACCTGTCCCTGAAGATTAATTCTTACGTAGTTTGACTTACAGAAAGGATTATTCCATTTGTCAAGTTTTGATTCTTTCTGATTTTGTTTTGGTGTTCTGAAAAAAGCCATAGGGGCAATATCACAATAAAATATCACAGATTAAAGCTGTCTGAATGTCTTCATGAATTTGTGTATTTTAAATGTACTCTTTCTCTCCTTACTGATAGAATGCCGCAACTTTTGAAGATATTGAGAAACCAGCATCAACCTATCAGAAGACCAAGCCAATAGAAGCTGGTGAGGCATTGGCCCCAAATCCTTTCTTTGGAGGTGATAATGTTCAAAAGCCCAGGATATAATTGTTGATGTAGCAGTGCTGACTAAGAATCATCTAGAGGGAACTGCTCTATTTGCAGGTCTCTAGCAACCTCAGCTGCTCTCTCCCTCCTCCCTTTAGAAGTTGTTTTGGTTTGCTGGTTTTTGTTGGTTTTTTTTTTTCCCTTGAGGGTCATCAGAGTTGAGGAAGGGAGAATAAAAAGCATCAGAGTGGAGAATAGGCTGAGTAGAAGAGCAGAGTGGTGGAGACTACCATGAAGGAGAGGAGGGAGAAGTGTTGCAGAGGTTTTTATGTAAGAGACATTGGTGCACAAGAGGTTTGGACTTGGAAGGGGAGAGGGAGAAGGAGGGATAGAAGGACTTTTCTGAGTGGGCTGTGAGCTCAGAGAGCAGAAAAGCAGAAACGTGCTAAATCCTAGCAGAAATTTGTACCAAAAACTCATTCCAGGCTACATTTATACAGAACCTTAAACAACAACATTTGACTTCAATTTTTTAAAATGTTACAGTTGCTAATAAAACAAGCAGCATCCGAGCTAACTTTGAAAACCTTGCCAAGGAAAAAGAGCAGGAAGACCGAAGGAAGGCAGAAGCTGAGAGAGCACAGAGAATGGCCAGGGAGAAACAAGAACAGGAGGAGGCTCGAAGGAAACTGGAGGTCAGTAAGATTCAAATCCCATTTGAGCAGCGTGTCTAGTCTGTTTCAATGCAATGTTGGGAGAAAATAGAATTTTTTAAGAAAAGATACTTTTCTTCTTTCCAGCTAGGCTTTAAAGCTCCTTGTGTCTTTGCCTGTGTTTGTACCTGTGCTTTGCCTGTTTGCGACTCCAGCCATCTATCAGCATGCGCCATGTGTATATCAGACATCAGATAGGGTGATAGGGTAACACTTAATAGCATGTAGTTTTTTTATTTAGCCTATCCCAAAATATGTATGCTAGTCTTGACCACTAATCTTTGCAGGCTGACCTTTTCCTGCTGTACTTTGGCCTTTTGGTAATACCAGATTCCCTTGGGCACGGAGGAGCTCATAAGGGGATAGACACGTGGTCATATGAATGCTTGTTCAAGAAGTTTAATACCATGGTGACAGTTGGTGATGCTGGTTTTTTGGAATCAGTATTGTGGAAGATGGAGGTGGTATCACCCATTGGTATAGCACATGCCCATGAGATTACGGGAAATAATCTTCCAAATGTTAACTGAATCTTAGTTTGGGAATTAAGAAAATTAGTTTGGCATTGGTTAAAAGCTTTGTGATTTTTGTGTTATTCATAAGCAAAATAATTCCAGGAAATGTTTAGTCAGAAACATCTTATCCGCTTTATAGAATTTGCATATTTTGTGAAACTGCTGCTGAGATGGAAGGACTAGTTCCTTAACAGTAACTTGTCCTTCGTGTCTTGTTCATTTACTTTGTTACACAATGCCTGAGATGCCTTATCATCAGTAATCCTGAGGGCCTGCTCTCTGCAGCTGTGTAACCTTTCGTGCAAGCTGCTGTCGCAGCGTTTGTCCAGAGCCTCCGTGGCCGTTTCCCTTGTGGTCCCATGCTGTTATTCTGATTTCATGGCCTCATACTTGTAAACCCTGATATTATGGCAGGGAGCGGGAAGCAATTTATGCGGGTGTAGGAATAGTCCCTCTTTTCCCCTTCTCCTTCACTTCTTGTTTTACAGGTATTAGTTTATACCAGAGAAGACTAAACATAGGACACAAAAAGATAGTAGTATTTTAAATTCTGAATAAATGCTACTTAGCCACACATGTGCGCTGAGACTTAACAGCCAACCTGTATGCAACACTGATGCTGAAATAGCGTGCTCCAACTAGTGCTAATAGTGTCCCAAGCAGGAATAACCAGCGGGGAGGTTGAACGGGTCCTGATGTATATAGTACTCAAGGAGATGCACAGGAAAAACAGTCATCCTCATCACCTTCATCATTTCCGATTGCTATGCTGAAGAGACCTTCCCAGAGGAGAATGCTTGTCTGGGACCCTCATCACTGCTCATCCTGGCTGGCTATGGGGGAGTTTTCCTACTTCCTTCTTTCTTCTCTCTCTCTCTTTCTCCTCTTTTGTTTTTATTTTCTGCCAAAAGTATCTTTCGTTGTTAGAGCCGATGTATGCCACCAGCTGCAGACCCCACTAATAGATCTTCTTGCATATGAACTTGTGTCAACATCCTCTGTGAGACATCTGGAATCCAGGAAGGACTGTCAGATGGTTTCTCAGATCTGTTCGGTCCTTTGCCTAACAACAAATGGGGCAGACCCAATGACTGGTTTCTCAGATGTGGTAGATACTTCCCCTTAGCGGGATGCTGCTACAGGATGTCAGGGTGCGGTGTTCATCCCATTCCATCAGTATGGTCTAGTTCGTCACAAATTTAGACTTGCTGTAAATAATTTGTTTTACAAGTATGAAAAACTAAATACATGGTAGGCTTATGGTAACCTAGCTCCGATCTTCCTAAACTAAGAAAAATACACTGCAGTGAAACTGCACATTACTTCACATTAACTAAGCTAGCCTAAACCAGCATGGCTGTTAACGGCAGCACTCTTGAGCCACCTTATTCCTTATGTCAGCAAAGCATCTGTATAGTCACACAAAAGTGGAAAATTAACCCTAACAAATAAAACATCTAGTTAACCCAAATCAGTTCCCCTGCCGGGTTCATTGGTTGGCTTCTCAACTCTGCTGTTCACAGGTGTGCAGGCCAGCACTGCTTCTGAAATAGCTCTGTAGTTTTGCTGAAACTGCATGGCTCATGTATCTTGTGTATAGTTTGATTTTTGAAAACAGCTAACTTCCTTTTGAGTTCTGTTTGAAATTTGGAAAATTCTGGCTTTGTAGGATAACTCAAGTCTCCCCATCTAAAGTGATTGCTGCTTTTTTTTTTTTCCTTTTTTCTTTTAGCTTATCACCTCTTTTGCCTTATGGCTTCAAGATGTACAGTGTGAGCATACGTTCACTGCATTCATGTATCGCAAGATGAACGGGAGTTCATCTTTTTGTATCAGTGATTTCTTCTAATGCTGCCTTTCATCCCTGTATACTTTGTGGACTTTTAACACCTTCCCCCAACCACTATTTGGGTTTCTTTACTGTCCTGGAGAAAAACATGTTACACCTTTAACACAGCATCTGCCACTCTCTTAAAGCTGGGAGAGGAAGAGATAAAGAGCTGAAGCTGAGAACTCAATTTTGGTATTTGATAAGGTTAGCAAGCCTGCTCCAGGGTGCCACTCTGTGTGCCACTCTGTTAGTCAACTTGGACTGCTCTGTGTCATTCTCAGTATTGGTACCACCCTCCATCACTGAGCCACACAGAGAAAAGTTGAAAATTTGCCTTGAGGAGAGTCATTTGGTTCCCCTCTCCTCAGAGCGGTAAAGCTGAAATGCATCCAGTCCGTAGAGTTGCTCTGGGAGCTCTTCAGATGAGAAAAGTTGAATTACTCAGCATGTGCTCACTCAGAGCCACAGCAAAATGCTATCAGCATGTGTCACCACCTTCTTCTGGTGTAGCTGTTCAGCTGGTAGCCCCATAGCTCCTCTAGCTATTGCCAGGCTGTCCTCTGCTCCTGAACTACCCTCCACTGTTCCCAGCATGTTTCAGTGTATTTAAGCTTACGCATTGCCAGTATCTAGGTCTAGCACCTGGTTGTTTCCCTAACAAAGTGATTTTTCGCTCCTCATCCTCCTCTGTCCTTGTCCTTGCCACCAACACTGCAATTCTAGTCAAAAAGCTGTAGTCCCTCAGCTCTGGGGTTTATTCCATGGCGTGACGAAGAATGGGAATGAATACTCTTTTGGGACACAACCCGGGGACAACCTTGAGGTGTACATTGCTCTTCAAGTGCAGCTTCACTCCTCCTTCAAGAGATTTCCCTTTTCTTGGCACTTGTTTTCCTCTGTCAGCGCATTGGTTCTGGATCGAGTTAGGACTTGTGACTTACAGCAAGCAGCATTGTTATCTTTGCAGGATTTAATTTAGTAGATACTTTTACAGTTCTCCAAATAAGGAAGAACCATGATATAGGTTGATGGGCATCACAAGTGTTGCATTGTTACTAAGGCCATTCTGCACTCATGAGATCACTTTGGACAGCCCTTGCTTCCAGTTACTGCTGAGAATTACTAAGAAGTATCAGTCCCAAATGAAAATGGACTTTCTCAGCATTCATCCTGCTCTTTCATTTTTTTTCTCCGAGGTGCATATTTTCACCTGGCTGTAACTCCATTCCATCATCACTACTTCTGCTTTGTTCTTCACACAAGTTGTCTGGTGGCGTTAGGACTTCTCAGTTAGCCTGTCTGAAGCTTCTTAGGTTATCCTCAGGATGCTGATAGTACTTGCTAGGCAACACTCCTCAACTGAGGACTGTTACTTCCTTACTTTGATTTGGTTGTTTCTAGGGGATTCTACAAAAGACCAGTCCCTGTAAACAGTGCAGTCCATCTTTGAATGCCTGGGTCTTAAAGTGAATGTTCTGGCGTAAAAAACTTGACTCATTATCACAGAGCAATTACCAACTCTCAGATGGTAGGAGTTCTCTTGTTGCAGGATCTCAGGATACTTTATCCTTAACTCGGTGCTTCACCTCCTGGGCAACTACCTCATGAAAGTGTCTCTCTCCTAGGGCATGTGGCAACTCCGATACCTCATACTGATCTTTTCTGTACTTTATGTATGTTTTTTGCTCTGCACCTTTCCTACAAGCAGGTTGACATTCCTCAAGATGCAAGGAGGTACTTCATGTGGTGGCAGCCGTGTCTCCAGGGGCATGCCTTTTATGTTGCCTCTGTTGACAAGTAGGGATATCAGTATGTTCTAAAATACTGTGTGATTTCATTGCACCACAGTTGCTTTTTCACAAGGAGCAGCGGCTATGTGCCAGTGCTCTGGAGATCTGGTCCATTTGGAGGATAGAGCTTTCCTGCTTTGCCTATGAGTGATGACAGTATAATATGGTTTAGGAGAGATCCTCTGTTCCCTCGAGGCAGCAGTCACCCTAAGCGATAGGTGTGGGGAGAATAAGACTCTCTGAAGTTCACACATGTCAGTCCTTCAGCTCTGACAGATGAGCTGTCTTGCAGTTCTCGGCGAGAAGTGGGAAATCTGCTCTGGTGGCCGTGTAAATTTTTTGAAAGGCTGCACAGCTGACACAGAAAGTACTGATGCTTCTTTTTCAGAGTAGGTTTGTGTCCAGGCTTGGTCTTGGGTACAACCCTGAGATTGGCCAAGTAGAATGGTGCATGCATTCTCTCTGCTGCCAAGCGCTGTGGTTAGGGTAAGGCAGGACATAATCCTGTTGGCTTTCATTGTCCCAGTGTGGCCTGTGCATGTTGGTACTGGGCCTTCTTTGCCTTTCAGTGACTTCTTCAGTTTTCTCAGTCTGCCCTGTATAACAGGTTGTCTGTCTCGCTCACTTCAATCCTCAAACAATCCACTTTATGCTACAGATGCTGAATGGCTCTCCATTAGACTATTCCTATTCCAACGCAGTTGGAGACGTTTTTTTTGACCCGTGAGGAGGAGATAACTGATCACATGTATCTTGCCAAAGTAGTCAGGCTTTCTGCTTTGTGTGCCCTTCTGTTGCATGGGTTTGTAGTCTGGGCTGAGTCGGGGAGGAAGTTCAGCTTCTCCATTAGCTCTCTTGCCATTCATTTTGGGTGATCATATGCTCATAATTAAGATCTGTGCATGGAGGCTGGTGAATTTAGGCTTTTTTTACCCATTTCAGCTTTTCATTGAGGTTTCCTCCAGCTGAGGAAAGAGTTCTCCAGGAGAGTTTAAATGTAGTAACACAGGTTCTCATGAGTCATTGAACTGTTACGTCTTCCCCCCTCACCCCTTTCTATCTCAAAAATGACTTACTTTCTTTACTGTTATTTTTGTGTAAGTGTGGGTTAAATTCAAGCCGTTATGCTTGATTTTCCTTGTGTTTCATCAAAGATTCTGTTGCCTGGACACATTTGAAGTTGTTTTCCAGACCTGGTATTTAAATTTCACCGTAACCAAATGATTAATGTTCTTCCAGACTGAACATCTCCATGGTTAATTGTGTGATTCTGCAGCCACTGAGGGAGGGAGGACGAGGCTAAGGGGAAACTGAAATGGCACTGGCTGCACTGCCCCTCGCTCACAAGCTGAGCGTGAAAAGGGGAGGGATGTAAGCACACCATCACTGCAAAGGATGGTTACGGACTTTGACTTAAGTGAACTTTATTTCTTTAAGTGAACTTCCTTGCACAGACAGAAAGTTCTCTCACTTTATGAAAGTACGTGGGCGTATGTACTCCCACAATGGGAATGTACATATGGACTGCATTCCTTCAAGAACCCTGTTTACTGGTAATCCTTCTTCTGTTTTGCTTTTCACATATGTCACATAGTCAAATGGTGTTCAGGGAACTCTTGTTTAACTGGTGGTTTGAATCCACGGGTGCCTCATGATTTAGCTAGCCTCTGCTACCTTAGAGAACAAGGCAGGATGCTCTTTCACATGGAGCGTTTCAGTGTGGAAGAAACCCAGCCAGAGCAGGGACCATGCAATTTAAATGTTTTACAGCAATTATGCTGTGGCTATCCTAAACTGTAGTCTGGATTGCAGAGACGCATTTCCTAGGACAAATTATTCAAACTGTTGCCGTGTTTGACATTGTTGATGGATTCATATAACTTAATTTGTCCCCAGACTTAGATTTGACTTCTAATAAACACTTTGCTGGTGCTTTTTTATCTGTAGCACAGGAGTTAAAAGTGGGGGAGGACTGTTTGCATCAGGACAGATTTTTTCCAGAAAGCACAGCACTAAGCTTTGAATTGTCTTCAAAGGTGGCTCTGTTCTCAAGACACGCTTCGCTTTCTTTGTTAGATATACTTTTTCTGAGCTGTGAGGAACAAAGGAAAGGAAGAATTTCTTTATAACAGAGTCCTATCACTTCATCTCTGGACTACAGTTTCTCCTGAGGATCCTTTGGGGAATTGCTGCTTGATGGACCTAAACAACTGGAGTGCACAGTTTCCCATAACATGTATTCTCTCTTCTTTTTTACAATAAAGAAGAAAGTTTGGCCCTAGATCCACAGCTTTCTTTTTCCCTATGGTAAAGAGAGGCAAAATGAAATAGCTAGCTTACAGTCTTTTTTTTTTTTTTAAGTCGTGCAAGCAATGTAGCATTTCTTGCGCTACCGTATCCTGGCTTCCTAATGAATGGCTTTCTAATGATGATTGTGGATTTGCCCTGTGATTCACAGGTGGGATGGCACAGCGTGAAGTGCTTGAGTCCAGAACACTTGATTCACATCCACGTTCTTTGTGTCACAGAATAAAATAGCAATACTGCTTTTATTTCTACCACATATAACTCTTCTGAACGTTTGAATCCCTCACTGTCAGTATATAGGACTTAATTTTGTCCGAGCTATTCAGTCTTTTGCCTTGGTGGGTGTTTTGCAGACCTGCAAGAGCTTGCAGGATCATTTCTCATCAAAGATAATATATCAGTTGTATAATTAGAACATGCAGGCTTCAGGTTCTCTAAACTTAGGCTAAAATGGGACATGAGGCCCAGCCAGCTAATGAACAGAATGTATATATTGAACACAGAAACCCTGCAGCTCCTATGGAAATGTGCCAAAGAACATTGGGTACTCTGTTTTTAAACACATGTATGCATACATACTGTGCGGTTTTTGTTTCTTCACTTTTTTCCCTTCTGCCTTGCTGTATTTCCGAGGCTTTACTGTACAGCCAGTCTAAACCTTCAGGCAGGTCTAACGATCCAGCCAGTCCAGTCCTCTTCTGCTCCCTGCTTGCATCAGTTTATTTCAGAATATGCTGTCTATCTTTCTTATTGGAGGGTTGTTTCTTGTTCAGTGTCATAACATCAGTAATTAAACTGCACTGACGTTTTTCTTTCTCTTCAATTAAGGAACAAGCTAAAGCCAAAAAACAAACTCCACCACCATCTCCTACCACGCAGCCAACTGAGCAGAAGGCACCCTCAAGCCCAGTCTACGAGGTTTGTTAGAGTCACTTCCAGTACCTAGTTTTTGATCCTAAGCATAGGAACCTTTTTACAAAACCCTCACGAACCTCACCCATATTTCTGCAGGATGCAGTTTCCTATGAAGCACAGTCTGCCTACAAGAATTCCAGCGCAACATATTCAGCTGCGCGCGAGCCAGAGTCCGGCTACAAAGCTGCAGAGTCAGACTACCAAGAAGCAGTGAGTCAGCGAGAGGCAGAATATGAACCAGAGACTGTCTATGAAGTGGCAGGGGCAGGAGACCATTACCAAGCAGGTAGAGTGTTTGTTTCTGATATGAAAACCTTTAAGATAAAGATTATTTCCTTGGGCAACGACTTAATGAATAGTTGTGCTGGTAGCACACTGTCCTAGTTTCCTAAAGTCTTAGTCTGATGAGACTTTTTAGATTCTCCACCAACAAACTTTAATTAGGAAATTAAGATACGGCTAGAGCAAGGTTGAGATTACTTAACTTTTGTGAGATGATGTTGGAATAATTACAGTGCTCTCTAGAGTGTCAGTTCAAAAAGAAATGTAGGGGTAATCATTTTGACCCTGTGTAATGCAGCTCAACTTGAAAAGAAAGCACAGATACGCAGATTAAATGTGTGTTGAGCCAGTGCTAGCCTACCAAGCAAAAAATTCTGTCAATAGTTCTTGGACTTCGAAATTGATGTGATGTGTTCTGTGCTTGTGAGGGTGTGGAGTAAGGATGTCTGAAACCAGAATCCCATTTGAATTCCCATTTTTCTCATCTCTTCTGGTTACTAACTGAGGGGTGAAGAATGAACCTGCTTGCTCCTGGTACAAAAGCCTGGAAATTTTAAACAGGCCCCTTCCTCCCTCCCAACATGCACCCTTAACAAGGTATTAAATAGTCTCTTACACACTGATCTTGGGCTTGGTTCTTCTGTCACATTTTACAAGTGTTATAAGGCTGATCGGTTTTATTTTATACTGTATTAAATGCTTACTTGTGAAAGCTTCTTTTCGGGCTTTAATTGTGTGTGATTTAGGGGAAAAAATCAATTTCAGAAGGTACATCAGCACTGCAAAAAACTTGCATAGTTTGTTCCCTGGTTCCCATGTGGGTTAGCAGTAGAATTAAAGGAGGAGCACCACAGAAAAGAACTCAGGGTGATAGGTGGTGTGCTTCATGCTTTTAATTTGTTTCCTCTCTCTCTCTCTCTTTAGAAGAAAATGCTTATGACGAATATGAAAATGAACTTGGAATTACAGCCATAGCCCTTTATGATTATCAAGCTGGTAAGCAAAGCTCTTGTTTTTAACCGTCTTTGAAAAGTCTGTTCTCCACAGATAAGTCTGGATTTTTCCTTTGCCTTTCATCTTGTAGTCCCTTGTAGTAATATATGAAATAAAGATATGAAGAATTAGGAATTTAGTGATTTAGCAATAGCATTGAGACACTTTTGAAAACCACTAGCCACTGTTTCTGGAAATGGTGGGAGTTTTCAAAATCCTTTTTAACCAAGTGTTAACACTCTTGTCAAACACTTGGCATACGTAGCTGTTTAAAATCTCGACTGGTTAATTCTGAGGAGAGATCAAGAAAGTAAAGTGGTTCTCAGTGTGTTCGGTAGCAATTGTTGCTCTAAGTTAGAAATGGATGCAAAATGCAGTAGGTAAGAACGGACTACCTCATCACTCCAGAGTGATCTTTACAGATTGTCATTGCCCGGTGCCCTGTTTCAAACGCCCTGATGGGATAGAGGAGGGTGATGGGTGCCTGTGTTATTTTTAGCGATGGTGGTTGAGAGGTGAGATTGTAGTTTGGACTGCTCCTGTGCAAATACTGAGCCTCTTCAACTCTCTCTCCAGCGGGTGATGACGAGATTTCCTTTGACCCAGATGACATCATCACAAACATAGAAATGATTGATGACGGCTGGTGGAGGGGTGTCTGCAAAGGACGATACGGGTTGTTCCCCGCGAATTATGTGGAGCTGAGACAATAAAGACTATTGTCTACTGGTTATGCCTTAATTCCCCAGTCAATAAATCTGACTTAATACACTACAAATCATGATGCTTTTCTGAGGATGGAGGGGTATATACATATTGCTTTTATATTTAATACTTTGCTGATGCTTTTTAAAATGTTTATGCCACAGAAATAGCTAATATATTGTAATTACTATGTTCTTCACTAAGGCTCTTAAAATTATTTTCATGCATTTGGAAACATTTCTTCTCTGCCAAATTAGCAATTGTCATAAAAAGCCTTTTCGAGGACAATTAGCTGTCTGTCGTAATATTGCATGTTTTACTCATAAGTGAGCAGATTTACTTAGTGTTTAAGTCTAGTTAGTCTTCCACTAAATGTTTTCAGCTAAGAAAGTCATGGCTATGCAGGTTATTTGCATTTCCACTAAGCGGGAAGGGGGAGGATTGGGGAGGTGCATAATTCTTTCTTTTCTTTTCCAGTTAGTGCGTGAAAAAGCAAAGAGAATGCTTGAAAGTTGCAGCTAATGGCAGTTAATGAAATACTGTCCAATATTTATGGAATATTAATGTTATGAAGGAAACAGTCTGGTTACTTTTTCCTTCTCTTTTAAAGTGAAGTTCCTTGGCTTTTGCATTGATTTTTTTTTTCTTTTTTTTTTTTCTCCCCCTGATCCTGCTCCTCCTGTCTATGTTATCCCAGAGGAGGGCTGCAAATACTCTAGCACTGATTGTCCCGAATTTCTTTGCTTTTTGTTTCTGTTTCACCCTCCTCTTTCCCAGGAAATCTGGAAAAAGTTACTACACAAGTGTTGAGTCACTCAGCGAGATTCCTGCTTGTTCAAAGAGAAAGTGGCATCCAAATCTGTGTGGCTACCTGCAGGAATAGTCTCATTGCTTTAAACAGGAGAAAAAAAGGCAGGATGGAATTGCAGTTGTGTTCTGTGTGCAATACATCCTTTGCTCATACAAGGAATGGCCTGCTGTGCAGTAATGACATTTTATGTAACCATATTTGAGTCAAGGAATGTTAATATAAGTAATTAGATTTAAAACCCATATAAATTATCTCCGTTTTTAAACCATACAAGAGACAGCTGTACTTTTTGTATGTTCAACAGAAACTGCCAGTAACATTCTACTAAACAACAAAGTTAAACCTGTTCTTTGCCAAAACTAAACCTGAAATTCTTGTTCCAGAAAGCTGACTTCACTGCAGATTTAGGATCCCTACCAAAGATAGCAAGTTGCATCTAATAGTGCACATGTTCAATGTATGTACTGTCTCTTTCCGCCTTCTGATCAAAATGGGAATGGCAGAACTGGTGTAGTAGCTAAGAAAGAATGCAAAGAATTTTTATAAACTGTAAATTTGGACCAATGAAATAGAGAAGACCTGTATAAAATGGTAAAATGTACAATGTATCTATGAAGAAGGCATCGTGTTGAACCAATTCTTGGATGGTTGGGACAATCCTTAATGAATGTCATATGTGTGTCATGATTTTTTTTTTTTTTCCTTTCCATGGTCTCATTTCTGTGTTGTATTTGCATTACTAGGGTTGGGTTTTATATGCAGTTTATTTTATCCAATTTTGCATAGAACACCTCATAGGGATATGATTTTTGTAAATTAAATATTCAATAAACTTTTTGAACCATTTGCTTGGAATATTTTTGTATTTTTAAATTGCTTTGTCAGTCTGTTACGGATAGTTCAGCTTGTCTCAAGCATATCTGGGACCAGCTTGCGTACAACAAATCATACTTCCTACGGAGAGCTGCTACACGAGGCTTGGTGCTGTCGTGAAGGGCACCTACGTTTTTCTAGGTTGCTGCTGCCTTCCACGTCCTTCCCTTCCTCAGAAACCCACTTGCTTTGTCTTTTACTCCTACTCCCATGTGGAAATATTTAGATCAAAAATTAGACTTTGGTGAACTTAAAGGAGAAATGCTTTTTAAATTTATTTTAAACATCTTAGCATCAGGATCTTTTTTTGTCTTTTGTTTTATGTACCTATTATTTCTGCTAAAAATACCTGTGAGCTGTGGTTCTGGGGAGAAGAGCTGCTCCTGGCTTTTGGGAATACTGATGGCTGCAGGTCACTGAGTGCTTTTGGAAGCACGGCCCTCAGTTATGGTGAAATAAACTTTTACATCGCTTTAAAGCTGTTCTGCTCCTGTTCATGACAGGGATCCTCAGGTCAGGTGCTTCCCGAAGCTTTGCTCCTGTAAGCCTCGGCTGCAGAAAGGCGTCCTGCCGTGCTGTCTAGGCCAGCCCATATTTCACAGTTTCTAATCCTGAACTTTTCTGAGAATCTGATACTTGACAATGCACTGCTGGAAATGCCAAGAAAGAAAATCCTAACACCCTTTTTCTAATTATTCTTTAATGCTACTGTATTAACAGGAAATCCAAAGCTTCAGAGCTCGCTGCCGCGAGTCCTAAAATACAGTGAGCGAGAGCCATTGCTTTGGCAGATAAAAACACACGAGAAGAAAACAGGCACGTACAGGTAAGCTTTCTGCACAGGAGGGGGTGGAGGGTGGGACGATTAAAGCTGTACGCCGCTAAAGGCGGATTTGAGGGGGCCGGTGTGGGCGACGAGCCCCTCG